CAGAACCTAGTCACATAATAGTTATATTCCCACTGTCTTGTTCAGTCACTGTTATACACACCGTAGTCATATACTCGCTGTTTTGTTAAGAATCATTATTCTACTGTCTGTTAATTACACTGTTTTACAAAGCACAATCACATAATAGTCAGATTCTTACTGTTATCTTAATAATTATGCTTCTACATTATGTTAATTAAATATTATACACAACCTAGTCACATAATAGTCATATTCTCACTGTTATGTTAATGCCTATATCGAGATTTGAATGTGACTACTTCAAACCAAAACCAGAGAATGTATATGACTAGTAGAGGGTGATGCATGTATGACGTTGTACCAAATGTTTTCGATTTTTTGGTATGAGACTGCAGTTTCGATGCAAGGAATTTTCGATTTGGGGGAGTTTTCACTTTCGTGCATTTTGTTCAGCGAATTTTATGTAATTTGATTTTTTTTTATTTGGAAGCAGTTATGATAGGAAAAAAAATATCAATGCTACTTATTAAATAATAAGGATTTATGCGCCTCTATTATTAGGGATTTCGAAAATCATGGTTAGGACTTACGTGTTACAAATCTTGATAATTGCTACAAGGGCAATATAGGGAATAAATACTTTACGAGCTATCACAAAGGAAGAATTATGGTATGAATATATTACCATAGGAGCGGGTTATTGCTAATGACCCCTTAAATGAAATATACTGCATTCAATAATTTGAGTGATGAGTAATTTGCTTTCAACAAACATAAGATTTCAACAAATATAGGGGTAGTTTTGAAATAGAAATTTAGAAATAAGATTTAATTTTTGGGGTCATTAGCAATAAACCCCTCATATAGATAATAAATGGTGATATGTCCACCCCTTAAATATTTCCTTGTGATGATCCCCTAGAAATTGTATTCTCAATTCTACCCTTATGTCAATTAGCATAATTAGTCTCAGTTATTCTTTTTTTCTCTCTTTCCATAACAATAATCTAATTCCTAAAAATCTGCTTTCAAATTCCTAAAAAAATTCTACCAAATCATAAAAAAATGATTTTTTTTTTATTTTTTTTATTTTTTAATATTTTTTTGAATATTTTTTTTTTTTTTAACAAAAAAATGATTTTTTTTTCTCGACCGGTTTACAACTCCGAATATGACTAAAGTTGAATATGACTATATGTGACTATGTAGACATATTTTTTCTTTATATTGCAATTTTTTACATTTTCAACTTAAAAATTCCGATTATATTCCGATTATATAGTGTGGTATAGTCATGTTTACCAAATTATATAAAACAACAAAGATTTCCTATTGTTTACGAAAATAATCCAATCACAATCCACACAAAAAATAACAATTTTGTATTTAGTTATTAGAAGACAACTTGAAAACGAGTAGATAGTACATATTCGAATATGACTACAAATATATTCAACAATAGTCATATTCGAATACGACAATAGTCATGTTACTGCTGTTGTTCAGATCTGAAACTGTATTTTCAGTTCTGAAAAAAAAAATGAAAAAATGAAAAAATAAGAAAGTGAGAAATGAAAAATAAAAATCAAAAGTACATAAATAAAGATAGAAAAATAACGAAAGAGAGACATGGGGAGTCGACGACAACGGCAATGGTGAATGAAAGAAAGTGAGAGAGGCGGCGACGGTGGTGGTGGTGGTGGTGGTGGACAAATTTGAAAAAAAAAAAAAAAAAAAAAAAAAACCCTGAGAAATCTAGAAAGATTACGAAAAAGAGAGAAGAGCCTTACGTGGAAACGAAGGAGGAGACGGCGGCAACGGTAGTGGTGGTGTACAAATCTATGTAGAGACGATGGTTGTGTAAAGTGAGAGAAATCGAGAGAAACAATAAACACGAGAAAATAATAAATCACTAACCGAGTGAATCAACAATAGTCATATTCGAACTAGAGTAGTCACGTTGATGCTGCTGTTTCAAACCTGGAGAGAAAAAAAAAAGAAAAAAATCGAAAATAACGAAAGGGCCGGGGGAGGGGGAGGAGGCGACAACGACGGTACGGTGAATAAAATAGAGAGTGGGATGAATTTATAATTTTCTAATTAAGAAGAAGAGGAGAAATTTAATTTCGGCCGGCCGACAGTGACGAGTGCGCGAACAACGGTGGCATCTCCGAGGCGGACGACTAGGTGTAGTGAGGTGAGCGGGGAGAGAGAGAGAGAGAGTGGGTGAGTGAGAGGGAGAGGTATACAAGAGTGAGAAATAAAATTATATCACGATAAAAACCTAACATATGTACACTTTAATCTTATCATGTCTGACCAGAGGTCTCACTAATTTAGATTGGGATTTGAGTTTTGAAAAAAGTCTTTAAACTTAATTGGGTTTCAAAATATTTTCTAAATAAGAGGTATTGCATATTACCTCTTAATTTTTGTGGTCAAAAGAAAAAAAAAAAAAAAAAAAAAAGAAAAATAGAGGTAGAATGTAACGAGTATTCGTCGTCGTTGGAACAAGGTTCTTTACCTTTCGAGTTGGTGACCAAATCGTTGATGGCTTCGACAAACGTTTCAGCATGTTCACCCGTGGCACGGTCCTTTCCAAAGACCGTAGTCCAGTCTTTGTAAAATGGCCATGACTTGTACCTCATGGAACGGGCATTAGCATCCGTCTAGGTAAACATGGCAAACAAAATAATACTTAGAAATGCGTATTATGAAATCAGTGCATTGAGCACCATGAGTTATGAAAAAGGATTTAGTAGTTTGATCTACCTTTACGTACTCTTGCCAAACTTGTTCATCAATGACTTCAATGGTATTGTTTGTTTCATTCCAGCCGAATCCCGACCTCGATAACATCGTGCTTAGCGATGCATAATGTTTTTTCCACACGTGTATCTTAGAATGGATATGTGGGGTTGCTTTGAGGTCGGTACCGGGGAATTTTTGTACCATATATTGTTCAAGAGTTCCTAGAAAACCAGTTTTAAATCCATTTTCACATTTCCATCCCCTCGAGACAATATCTTTCAACCCTAATACTAAAGTCTGCTCTTCAACTACAGTCCAACTACGTCTGTTATTGATGACCCCATTCTTATTGTTTGTACCTTTTTTCGAACCAGCATTAGATTCCATGAAGCCTGAAGTTTTTGACGTAAATGTATTAACAAAAACGAAGTCTTACAAACAAACATGCAATTAAACAACCAGGTTTTCCAAATGTAACGTCTCTTACAACAGAAATTGGGTGAAGAATGAAGCGAATTGTAATTAAATATTGTCGTTGAGTACCCATGTACATATACAAACATACCCGTGGGGACTCGTAGACCATTGTCTCTAGTGACTGCATCCCGAAGAATTCTACTATCGGCTGCCGATCCTTCCCACCCGGTTAGTAAGTAAATAAAATTCATATTGTCATCGCAAACGGCTAACACATTAACAGACACATTGCCCTTGCGATTCCTATATCTTGGTTTATCAAGACAAGGTACACGACAATCTATATACGTTCCATCTAGTGCACCAAGACAACCCTAAATAGTTTATTCATGACGAGGATAGTGATTTAGAACAATTTTTACTAGTAGTTGTAATATGAAAGTAATTACAGTGAACATACATTTAGTACCTTAAAGTATGAAAACCGCTCGTTTTCTGAATTTTCGCCAACCGGCTTAGGGGCTATTAAAAGCATTTCGTGTAACTTCAACAAGGCTACAAGTACCTGATTAAAATGCTTGCTAACAGTGTACCCTGATCTATTGAAATGGCTTTTAACAACAACATTTTTGGTGTGATGAGCCAAAATTTGAAGAAACATTGCCACTTGCTCGGGTACGGTGACATTTCTATTCGGTTTAAGACCACCAACATTTTCTAAAACATAACATAAACGATAGAATGTTTGAATATTCATTCTAAGATTATCACGACAGGCAACATCGTTGAACCCAACTATAGAACGCAAATATTGGAGTTGGGAAGGTGTTCTTCCTATCATACTATAAGTTCGATTATAGCTATCCGTAGACCTCAAACAACGACGCTTAAATGTGGGAATAATATGCATCGACACTAAAAAGAAAATCCTCAAGCTAAAAATTAGTTGGTGCAAAACAACTATTATTTCTTCTTCTCGGTTTGACAAAGCCATCCTAAGCCAAGAAGTTCCTACAAAATATATGCACAAATCTGTTTAACCAGAAAAGCCCAATCGTGATTCCTGCCACACGTTTACAGAATTGGGACGTGAGCAGTACAGAGAACATCGAACTCTCAAATAGAATGTCAAAATAATGGATGAATATGAACGCAAACAAATTGAAACAAATTTCGCTATCATACGATACACATTTGTAAATCTAATGATACACAGAGCACTAGCAGACAATTAATATACAGATGACCAAAATGATACATATATAGCAATTGATTTAGTACCTGTAGCAATCGAAATCCGCTTACGAGAACTGAGCGATGTACAATCCAACGAATTAAGCCAAACCCCCTATGGACTCTCTTGAAGATCAAAACCCTAAATCTGTATAATGGCAACGGAAAATTCCCAATGAAAACAATCTGCAATTTCATATACACTGCAATTTTAAAAAACGCAACGACCCTGCAATTTCGTATTACCTTTCCGCTAACGTTGGGTGTGGCTGAACGGGAAGCTTCAATTACAGTCTGCTCTTCAGGTATGACTGGGTAAAATTAGGGCAGCAAATTCACGGGGAATTTGACGAATGTGCGTTTATATATGTGTGTATATTTGTAATTTTTTCATTTCTTGAGGGCAACTTAGACATTACACACGCCACCCAGATGTATGGACTATCACGTGTTAATTAGTCAAGCCAAATTTGGCTTGACAAATAATAAATCATATGCGTGATAAATCAAGTGGGACCACATATCCCGAGACATTGTGACAGCCGAACCAAACACCGTATACGGAGGGACTTTTCGTCCCATCAGGCGTAATAACGCGTACCAAATGAGCCCATAAAAGATTAAACAAAATAATAATGAAAGATTCCTCCCGACTCACTCCTCTCCATTCAACACTCTGCCTTCCTCACTACCACGGCGGCACCACACACACGCACACTGCTCCGCCGCCGTCGCCCCACTCACTTATCCATAATTCCTTCTTTCTGCCATTAAAGTAGACAATTTCCGAGGAATAATTCATTCCAAAGTAAAATCATCCATGGCTTCGTCGTCCTACACAATTGTTTTCATCCTTCTTCTCCACATTTTCCAACGCAAAGGTACAACACCTATTCTTCAATATATATATATAAAATAATATATTCTAGTCGTGTAAAATTCTTGGATCAAATAAATCATAATTATATCTAATTTGATATATAAATATGGTGATCGATCATGCAGGAGGAGTTGTTAAAGGTGCAACATTTACATTTGTAAACAAATGCTCTGTCACAATTTGGCCGGCGATTCTCGGCAGCCCCAAACTCGAAACCACTGGATTCCACCTCTCTAAGGACACCTCACGCGCCGTCCAGGCCCCCACCGGCTGGTCCGGCCGCTTCTGGGCCAGAACCGGCTGTACCTTCGACGACTCCGGCCGCGGCTCCTGCTCCACCGGGGACTGCGGCTCCGGCGAAATGGAGTGCAACGGCGCCGGCGCCACCGCCGCCACTCTCGCCGAGTTCACACTCGGCTCGGAGTCGGGCTCCATGGACTTCTATGACGTCAGCCTCGTCGACGGCTACAATCTGCCCGTGCTCGTCGAAGCCGCCGGCGGGTCGGGCCAGTGCGCGTCCACCGGCTGCGCGGAGGACCTGAACCAGAGTTGCCCGCCGGAGCTGATGGCCGAGGGCGGCGGCGCGTGCCGGAGCGCGTGCGGGGCGTTCGGCACGCCGGAGTACTGCTGTAAGGGCGAGTACGGGTCGCCGGCGACGTGCAGGCCGTCGGAGTACTCGGAGATGTTCAAGAGCGCGTGCCCCAAATCGTACAGCTACGCGTACGATGACGTCACCAGCACCTTCACTTGCACCGCGGCGGACTACGTCATCACCTTCTGCCCACCGCTCCCAAGGTACAACTGTTTAATGCAGCACAATTAACGTACAAGTCACTAAAACCCAGTTATTTAATTTTGCAGCGAAAAATCATCGAAATCAGATAACGGTATGTCAGATGGGTCAGGATCTGAATCCGGGTCGGGATCTGGGTCGGTTGAGGATGCTATGTTGGCTGATGGGTCATGGTTGGCAGAATTGGCAATTGGGGGGGAATCTGCTACCACGCACCCTTTTGGTGCAACTGCCCAAGCATTGGTGGCGTTGTTCACTGTGTTGTACATATTACTGCAGCAGTAGTACATTTGTAATTTTGGTCAAAAATCACAATATTAGTTTCTTTTTTTTTTTTATCAGAAAATCACATTATTAATGTTAAATTGAAATTTGATTATATAATAATATCGATTTAGAATTATTATTTGTGATCTATATCGACAGTTAGTATAGTCATACCACCCATGCTTGCAAGCTTATGTTATGTGCAACAAGAATTGCAATTTAATCATTTGGGTCGTATCCATGCTATTATTGTAAACTAGTATTTTGCCTTGTGCGTTGCACGGGCGGATATTGAAAAAAAAACATATGATAAGCAAAATTAGAAATTAATAAACATCAAAACAATGTAACCGAAAATGTAAAAATTTCACTAATTGCAATAATAATCTATTATATATATTTTGACAATAAAATTTAATACACATGCGAGTGCTAGAAAAAATGAGAGAAAAGTTAGTGCTGGAAGGAAAAAAAAAGAAGAAAAAAATTCAAAGAAAAAAAAAACGTGAAAAAAAAATTCAAAGTTGATCGTGTTTAGTGGGGAAGGAAAAAAGGAAGAGAAAAAAGAAAAGAAAAGAATTAATAAAACGTGTCCGATAAAAAAAAAAAAAAAAGAGAAAATTTAGTGCTGGAAGAGAAAAATAAAAGAAAAAGAAAATATTTCAAAATAAAAAATGTGAAAAAAAAAACTGATCGTGTTTAGTGGGGAAGGAAAAAAAAAAGGAAGAAGAAAAAAAGAAAAAGAAAATAATTAAAAAAAACCAAAATGTGTTCTATAAAAAAGGAAGAAAAAACAAATTATTTTAAATGTGCTATAAGAAAAAAAGGAGAAAATAAAGGAAACAAATATTTCACAAAAATATTTATACAAGAAAACTGTTTTTAGGATTTGGGGGCAAACCTTTCTTTTATATATAAAGATGTCTATTTACTTTACGTGTGGATTTAACATTTTAGAGTTTAATTTAATAAATGAATAAAACATTGCACCAAAAATATTAAGCTTAATGCACACAAGATCTAGAAAACTCACTCAAACAAGTTATCTATATATCGATTGAAGATATAACGTTTTAAATTTAACACCACAGAAATATTGCAATAAAATACGGTAAATTTACGAAAATTCTCCTGAACTTAGGTTAAATAACGAAGTAATTATCAAAATCCCCCTTAACTAACTGTTGATCGAAACTTTTTTAACAGAAGACGTGTAAAATCTATTGTACCCTTCTGTTAAATATGCGAAAAATAAAAGAAAATATCTGAAATTATGTAAAGTCTATTATACCATCAATTAACTTGTGTTAAAGTTGTTATGGGAAAAAAACATTTATCATTGTTCCTAAAAATAAAAAAGTTTTTACTTTCTCAAAATTACCCATGTTTTTAATTTGCACCACATATTTCAATATCTTTTCACTTTAACCACATTTTCTCACTTTCATTTTCCACACTCGTTGTTTCCATCTGTGACGATTCACCTCACTTCCCTCTTAACTTGGAAAACACATAGAGAAGATTACGGTTAAACAAGCCCTAACCACGAGAGAAATTGTTATTCTCATCCATCGTTGCTCGAATCGCGAAGTTTACCTCCATAAATCAAAGGTTCGTAACGATTTTCTTTCAACTCTTTTAGGGTTTTAAATTTTGGTAAAAAAATTAGGGTTTTTGATTTTTATTCAATATAAACTTGTATTACAAAAAACACATTCACAACTTTTTAATATTACCATTACCCCCAGATGGTAACTTTTGTCTTGAAAAAATTAGCAGTGGTAGAATCGACATTTTTTAGGAATATTCTCTAGAACTGAAAAAATTCCGTGGAAAATCACACTATAAGGGGTCAGTGTAAGACGGAAACAAACGTCGGAGGAATTTTAATAATTACAGATAGATAGGGGTGTTTTTTGTTATTTAGCCTAAGTTTATGAGGGTTTTTGCAATTTACCGTAAAAGGAAGAAACAATATTTAATAACAAAACAAATTAGAAATGATTCCTTCAAAATAATGAAATCATATGATTTGTCAAAACTACCGTTAGTCTAGTGTAGCTTTAATCTACACAATATTTTCTCTCCTTCACATGATTAATGTTTTATTTTTATATTAGTGTGGTTTACATCTATCGTATGGTTTGCAAGTTATTATACGAGAGTATATGTTTACACAGTTCCCTCGTTACCAAAAAAAAAAAAAAAAGACAAAAAGTTTATTTCTATTTTATTTTCACCTTTTCTGTGCCAGCTAGATTCGCCC